TCAAGGGATGACTTGCAGCGTACGTGCTAGTAGTATATTATAGTTTTCACTTTTTCCCCTAGGTCGTTGTTTTTTTCTTAGTTCGAAAGGGTGTTACAAGGGATGACTTGCAGCGTACGTGCTAGTAGTATATTATAGTTTTCACTTTTTCCCCTAGGTCGTTGTTTTTTTCTTAGTTCGAAAGGGTGTTACGAGGGATGAGTTGCAGAGTGGGTGCCAGTGGTAGTTCTCATTCCGTTGTTTTTCTCTTGTGCGACAGGATGTTTCGAGGGAGGGTTGCTGAGTACGCGCCAGTAGTAGTTCTCACTTTTTCCCCTAGGTCGTTGTTTTTTTCTTAATTCGAAAGGGTGTTACGAGGGATGACTTGCAGAGTCTTGCAGAGTGGGTGCCAGTAGTCGTTCTCACTCTTTTCCCTTCGTTGCTATTGTTTTTTCCTGTTGGACAGGCCACATCCTCGATGGACAGGACGCTGCGTTTCTACGGCACCGCGTAACAAGCGTCCGCGGCTGGCTATGGCATCATCACCAGGGAGAAAGTTCTACAGAGAGACGGCGTAGGGCGCGGTTGTGTAGGCATGGGGGGGGTGGGGGGTGGGGGCCACATATTGGGCGAAAAGTAGCTGTAGGAAGGTTAGCGTACAGCACGCCCGTCTCCACTGACGGTTCCGGCGTTGTGGATAGTGTACGTCGTGTTCCGCGGGTGATGAGAGTATAAGGACTAATCTGATGATTTTGGGGGGGGGATTATAGGCAACCCGAGGTTAGCGTTTCTTTCCTCGTCGCGCGCGAGCCATGCTATTGATTTGTTTTGCCACTGGTGTCTCTTTGTTGGCTGTTTTCTCGTTTTTTTTCGACGTGAGAAGTGCAGAATAGAGGTCCCCGAAGTTTCGTTCCTTTTGAGCGACTTGTCGGAACAATCGCAACATTGCCGCCCAATGGGCAAAAAACGCGTATTTGTAGCTCAAAAGTTGATTAAAAAGTACAAGAGTGAGGGAGGCATCCTGCGACTATTTTGGTTTTCAGAGACTCTCGGTATGCATGCGAATGGAGATAGTAAGCTTGACGCAGAGCAGTGAAGGTTCCAAGGTTTCGAGGAGGGAAGAAGAGACGAGAGAGACGAGACGCCCCCCCCCCTCCCCCCCCCTCCTTTAGATACCCTTCCACCGACTCTCCTGCATGGTCAATGGTCTAAAAACTAGGGCATGCAACACTTGAGTACACCCCCCACCGGCTGCACTAATGAAATAGAACTTACAGTAAGCTTGTTGTGATTCTCGTATCCGGGTGTT